GGTTTACGAAGGGCCTGGCTAATTGATTTTTTTGGAACACGTGCAGGTATGTAGTGTGTTTCAGTTCCCCGGGAAAAATTCAGGGAAAGTTAGGGAAGGCCTGCAGGCGCACTGTGAATCGTATTCGGATCTCGAAAACAAGTAAGGACCCCTCACCCTATTTCCTATCACGGTATTAAAGTTCAAAATGATAAAACGGTATTTCTTGAATTAACGCATGTGTGAAATTGCTTAAGGTTGCTAATGGAGCCCGAGTCTAGTGTGATTGATGATTTACTGTTATTTGGCCTGTTTTACACTGTTTTACAGCTTTAAATGCATTATGGGGTTTGATGTGTTCATTTTATAGTTTCGAATGCATATATTACTGTTTTATTAATTATGGGTTGAATGACTGAAGAATTGATACTGTATGTTGTCTGTTCGGCATGAATTACGATTTGCTTGTTTAAATGTGAATTGATGATGCTTATTGAGGAAAAGGGAAATGAAACATTGTATAGACTGATAATTGTATGATGGGGTCAGCCTGACTAGATATCCTGGGAGATGGTGGACGGACCGGGTCCATAGGGAACCCTACCGGGATTGTGGTCTCACATGCCGGACGGGGTATGGAGATCTTATGGTTTTGGCGCCCATACCGGACGGGGTATGGGGACGGCCCGTTTCACCCTCATACCGGACGGGGTATTGAGGTTTATGGTTTTGGCGCCCATACCGGACGGGGTATGGGGACGGCCCTGGAAACTGATTATGAATGTTAAAGGTTAACGGGTAGCGGAACTCCTATGGACCCCCACGGATACTAGTAGGCTGGTAAATGAGAAAAAGATATGTTGTACAATGATTGAATTACAAGAGGCGTGATAAGTGTTATGTTTTACAGCTTAGATTATTCAATGATTATGATGATGTTATTGTTTTTCTCATATTGTTTTCATAAATTCCACCAAGGTAAGTGGATGGTAAAAGTTTTATTATTGATAAAAGGTTTTATTGTAAATTATGCTCCATTGGTCTTTTGTGTTTTTCTACCCACCTTTACCTCCGTGACGGTGAGATATCGTGATGTTCTTACTGGGCTAGTGTAGCTCACTCCTTATTTAACCATTTCAGATCAGGAAGACATGGTTCCCGAGCCCGTTCCGCAGGAGGATGACGAAGGGGATACCTAGAGACTCTGTAGTCATACTCATAGTTTTATTTTCGAGTTTCTCTCTTAGTTAGTTTAATCTTTTATATTTTAAGTACGTTTCTGGTTTTTCGTGTAAGGGATGTTAACTGAAATTTTGATCTCGCTTCCGCATTTGATATATTTAAATACTCATTTCATTTTAATATTTACGGGGCCGTTACAGTTGGTATCAGAGCCGCATTTCCTCGGACCCATCCCTTACACTATAGTCCTTTAAAGAAATACTCACCGATTGGTCGTTACTCAACCATTCCTTGTAAATGCAGGTACACAGAAATGAGGAGAGGAAGGCCCCCACTAAACCGAGCGGCACAAGATAATTCACTTCGGGAGGATTTGGACAGATTATATGAGATGGTGGAAGCTCTCGTAGCTGCCCAGCGAAGGCAAGAGGAGAGAAGGGAGTTACCCGGACCTCCTC